AAAAAAAAAAAAAAAAAAAAAAAAAAAAAAAAGAAGAATATTCAGAACAAGAAAGTAGAAAGAAAATGTCTCTGGGGGACGTAGGACGCGCATGGAACGTGACAGGGGACGTCAATCTTTGGATAAAGAGAAAGGCAGTCCAGTTGGAAAGGACACGGCAAGCCTTGAAAAGTAATTCTGAAGAGGAGGTTGGGAAAGAACAGTGAACTTACAAAAAAAAAATCAAATTTCAGACGTCAGATGAATTAGTTGTAGGAAGAGAATTAGAAAAAGAAAGTGAAGATTCTCCCTTCTCCTCCGATCCCTCCCTGGCAAATGCAGTTTCAAGTCAGTGATGGCACTTAAGCTGCTGAGTAGGGGAGTTCTTTGTACACATAGAGTAGCTATTTGTATAGTTCATCTCTTAACCCCTCCGCAGTACCAAACACAGGTCCTGAATGTACAGAAAGTTCAGTATTTGTGGATAAATTGATGTTGTAACTTCATTAGTAATCATCAGAATTCATTAAGCGTGTGCATGGAGATTAGAGATGGGAAAAATGTTCTCCAGATTTTCAAAGCTGGGTGAAGGCTAAGTCCAAAGATCAGCAGAATTCCAGAGGGGATTTAGAAACATATGGTCATGGATACAGATAAAGCAACCTTGAGTTACTGAGGACACGAGTAATGTATCTCCTTATCTATAAAACCCCGATCCCTCCATCTTTTACCCTGTCAAAATCTATACATTTTTTTTAAGCCTGCTCATATTGCTGTAACAAAATGCCACACAGATTGGGGAATTTATAAAGAACAGAAATTTCTTTTCTCACAATTCCAGACTCTGGGAAGTCCCTGACCAAAGCACCTGTGTGTTTGGTGTCTGGCGGAGTCCGGTCCCTGATTCCAAGATGCCATCTTTTTGCCCTGTCTTCACAGGATGGAGGTGGGGAAGACAAAGGGCCCAAGCTTCCTCCAGCAGTTTTTAAAGCCATGAATCCCATTTGTAAGGGTAGAGCTTTCCTGGCCTAATTACCTTCCAGAAGCTTCACCTCTTAACACTGTTGCACTGGGGGCTAAGATTCAACATGACTTTCAGAGGGTACCCAGACAGTGGAATCACAACACCCTTCTCAAATACCATCTTTCCCAAGAAGCCATGCCTGTCCATCCCAACAGAAGCTCTTATCCTCTGCTGAACACTTAAAATGTTTCTTTATTCTCAAAGATATTTGCCCCAGATTGTTCATTGCAGCTCAATTCATAATTGCCAAGTCATGGAAGAAGCCCAAGTGCCCATCGACCCATGAATGGATTAATAAAATGTGTCAAATTTAATAATTTTTAAATTAATAAATTAAAAAAAGATTACCTCTTTTATGTTCACATGGATGGGGCTGGAAAATATTCTTCTTAGTAAAGTATCTCAAAAATGGGGAAAAAAGTATCCAATGTACACAATACTTTTATGAAACCAATTTATAATTACTCACATTTTCTTACAAAAGATAAATCACAACTATAGCCTAGGATGAAGGAGAGAAGTAGAGGGGGATGGGAGGGGAGAGGGGAGGTTCGATAGAGGGAGGGTAAACGGTGGGACCACACCTATGGAGCATACTGCAAAGGTACAAGTCAAATCTACCAAGTATAGAACATAAATATCTTTT